CCAGGCATCGCGGGGTCCCCGAGCCCACCGAGCATCGCGACTCCACGCACATCCGCACCGTCCGATTGACTTCACATCCTTCGGCCGCGGTGACACGACGCCCGCCCCTCTCAAGCCACGACTCGCGACAGCACCGAACGCTGCCGGTCCACGAGACCGGCACGGCACGCAGCCGGCCCTGCGAGACGCCAACTCCGGCACCGGTACCGACTGGACACAGCCGGACGGCAGCTCTTAGAGAGTCGGACTGGGTGAGTAGGCTGTGCGGCTGCTGTATCTGGTCTCTTGGAGGAAGATCATGTCACAATCCGGTGGGATTTAGGCCCATCGTCCTCGATAATAGAATGTCTGTACTGGTTAAATAAACAAGAAAAGGTATGTAGAAAGTCTGGGTTTAGAAGAATCCCTAAATAGATTGATGTTGAAGTACCTTTCATTTCGCTTGAAGAAACGAGTGGAAGGAAATCATAAGTTGTTCCTACCGGCGGATGTGGGCGGTTGCCTTGGAGCTGTGATTGTAGATTTGTGCAAATATGTCCTCGGCGCACCGACCTGCGACCCCGATGAAACCTTGCTGAGCTTTCTTACGTCATGTGACGAACATCATCAAAGCAAGAAACCATGCCTAAAGATACTTCACAAAAAACATGAAGGCAAGAAAGGTTGCCGGCTTCAAACTTACCTACTTCTTATAGTCCAACTTGGTCCAATTAGGCATCTCAGGATTGAGTTGGATGTCCCATGCTTTGCTTCTGTATTTGCTTATTTGAAAGTATGCTAAAGTTAAAGAGAATAAGAGTAGAGAAAGCTTGCGATGTCAAGTCTGCATGGTATTCTCTCTGAATCTGGAAGGAAGTAGTGATGTTGGCGTACTTTTCATTTCACCTGTTGGTAGCAAGTGAGTGGAAGAGAGTATCCGTAAAATGGCGTCACCAGACACCGAATGAGGAGAGTCGTGGACCCGTGACTGATGGATTGAGTCTGTCGTGTGACTTAGCTCAACATTCACAAAAATACACTGGACCAAGGTGTGTTTTTTTGGTGATTTCTGTGCAAAATTGTCTGACAATCTCAGTCACATAATGTGCACAATCCAGCAGTCACGAATTCAAGGCAACCTTCCTTCGGTGTAGAGTGAGGTCAATTTGCAAATAAACCCTTCCCGACTCTTTTTTAAACGAAATCAAACATCCATCAGCATCACTTTATTAAGGGAGTA